AACATGCCAATCACTCATTCTGCCTACCTGCGTGTAGCAAATAAAACACACTACACACTCCGAGGTGAAGCTGAGTAAGCATATCTAAAGCGTCGAACATCCACATAAATTGGAGCACCCTGGGGTCATGAAAAACAATAGGGATGAAACTACTTTATTGTCTCAAACCTCCTTATGTTTTCATATCCGACTAGAATGATGAGTATTCTGTAAATGTAATCTTAATAAATCAAATGAAAACGAAAACTAATAAAAACATAACATCTATAATCAATATTATTAATATTTAAAAGCTAAGTGAAATATAAGTAATAAAAAAATACCCGAGAAATGTTGAATGTTATGGAGTAGTGTGAGAATAAGTTAAATTTGAAGAGTGAGTGAAGTGGTGAGTGAAGGGGTGGTTTGAATAAAAATATATGAGTGATAATTAAAAAGATGAAGGTTAACATTAGTGCATACAAAATTCATTAAAAAACATCTTCATAATTTCGAAAAAAATATATTCATGTAAACACTATCCAAAAAATATATATTCATTAAAACACATAATATCGAAAAAAATATTTTCATATATTTTTATAAAAAATTAAAAATAGTATAGAGCACATAGTTGCGAATATATAAACACAATCTATAATCAAATGAAAATGAAAACTAATAAAAATATAACATCTATAATCAATATTATTAATATTTAAAAGCTTAGTGAAATATAAGTAATTAAAAAATACCTGAGAAATTTTGAATGTTATGAAGTAGTGTGAGAATAAGTTAAATTTGAATAGTGAGTAAAGTTGTGGGTGAAGAGGTGGTTTAAATAAAAAAAATGAGTGATAATTAAGAAGATGAAGGGTTGGGTGAAGGTGGATGGGTGGGAAGGAGGTGGTTGAAATGTGTGGTGGAGTGAAAAAGGTAGAAAGTGAAAAAGGTGATTAAAGTAGATTTTCAGAAAGTGAAAAGGGTAGATTATTTTCGCATGTACTACATGCAAACCCATTAAAAAATCAATCCGCATGTACTACACGCGAATTCACTGCAAAAATTACTGACGATTTGATAGTTTTAGATTTTTTTTAGTTTTTTTAATTCGCAGGTACTATGTGCGAAATTCCTTCTAAGGAATTTCATGTTCGACTTTAGGAATTAGTTTTTCCTTTTTTTTCCTTTCTTCTGTGGCACATCCTTGTCTAGCTAGCTACCTCTAAATATTTATAATGCAGTGGTGGTGTTGCGTAATTGACAAAGGTAATTAAGAGTGTCAAGAGAATAAGACTCGAGTTCAATTTTAGTAATCGCATTAACTCGCAAATTAAGCTAAAACAAGACCATGTTTCAGGTGCAGACTCTACTGTTTACTACTAATCTGTGATCAAAATCTAATTTACATTTGCTCAATCCAGATGAGTCCTCCGGCATGGGACTGAGTCCTTTAAATATAAATAGTGTAGGCCAATAAATTTATACAGCTCATATGTTAGGGACGTAGTAGCTAGAGCTCGTCATCTTACTACTCACACAAAATTGGATATAATTTGTTCATGTTTTGTTCTTCACACATTGCATTTCTCGTTTCCTTTAAGAGTATGGGCCTCTTTGGGAACATCGTTAGAGATTAGCGTAAGCGTTTTGGATAAGATTTTAACGGTGCATATTACTTTGAAAACGCTAACGCTAAACGCTGCCCGTAGATAACATTTTCAAAACGCTAACGCTAATCGTTAACGCTATTCCCAAACAGGCCCTATATATGTTTGGTTGGAAGGAAGGAGATGGGAGGAAAACAAGGCTCCTCCCCTTGTTTGGTTTAAAAAATACTACGTAAAAGGGAAAGGTCCGAAATTTTAGATTCAAATCCGTCCCTACCTTCAAAATCAATCCGTTCATATGGAAGGTTCCTCATTGCCTCCGTTGTTCTTCCTTTTTTTGGGTTAATTTTCTCTTCTTCTTGTTATAAACATAATAATACTTTAAAAAAATTATTGAAAATAACATAAATAAAAAATATACTCTGCAAGTATAAATCAAAAAAATAAAATATCAAAAAAGTAAATAAATAAAAGTATTAAAAATGAAAAAAATAATTATTATTACCAATAAAAATTAATTATAATGTAAAAATAAATAAATAAATAAATAAAAATTACTCTGGGGTATAATCATAATCATAATAATAATAATAAGAAAATGGTAATAATAGTGATAATAATGATGATGATGATAGTAATAATAATTATTATTATTATTATAGTAGTAATAATAATAATAGTGATAATAGTAATAATATTAATAATCGTATTAATATTAATATTAAAAAAAACAAATTAACAAATAAGTGAAATTAATAAAAATATTGAAATAAAAAATAATAAATAAATAAACTATAAATGATAAAAATTAAAAGGCAAAATTCACATAAATACTCCTAGAAATTTCAGTTTTTACATAAATACTCCCAAATTTGTTTATTTACATAGTTACTCCCACATTTGTCTGTTATTTACGTCATTACTCCGCGATTGCTTCATCGTCAGTGTTCCTCGGATGCGTCTTTTTAAACAGGGTTCTTCATCGTTTTTTTATTGAATTCAAATTAAATTAATATGAACATACTTGATATTAAACATTAAAAACATTTAGGAAGTTTGAAATCTAATTTTTTTTTAAAAAAAGTGATAGAAATAAGGGCAATGATTAGGCTTACTAAGACGTGAGAAATTCGATGGAGAGAATAATTTGAGGTGAATTTGTTATATTATAGTGAAAAAATACATATCTGCATTTTAACTGCTCACTTAGCGCAAAAAAAACGCATTCAAGTAACACTAATGTTCACTACCAAATTTGGGAGCAATGATGTAAATAAAAGAATAATGTGGGAGTAATGATGTAAAGAAACAAATTTGGGAGTATTTACGTAAAATCTGTAATTTCTGGGAGTATTCTTGTCAATTTTGCCAAATTAAAAAAATAAATTTTATAAATATAAAAATTTAAAACAAAAATCAATGATATTCTTCTCCTCTTCTAATCAAACAAGGTGAAGGTAAGCCCTCACATCCCTTCCCGTTCACTCCCATACTTTCTGTTAAAAAGAGCATCCCACATCGGAAAAGTGTAAGGAAATTAATCGGTATATAAGCTCTTGAGTTGAACTAAGTAATCGATTGGATTCAATCTTTTAATGTGGTTCAACCCAAGTGTTTTATTGCCATAATCTAATTGTCCATATCCATCCTAAATTCTATCACTTTCTTTCTTCTCCCCTTCTTCCCAACCAAATAGGTCATAAGGGTGGTTCTGATGATAGCTTTTAAGTGTAGGTTTAAACCCAAAAACTTAACTTCTCTTGGGATTTTAAGCGCATAAGACTATTAAAATATCAAGAACGTGAAAAATAAATAAACACACTACACAAGAAGAAAATATTAGAGAAAAATTATATCTTCACTATTTCAGAACGATACACAAAAAACTTTCCTTGTTTACAAGTGCTAAATACCAGACACTTATAAACAAATTTTTCACACCCTACACCCGGATGTATTTTCGAGTAACCGAATAATAGTTACTTCTTACACTCACTCACACAATATTGGTGATATCTTGTGTAGCACCTCTCTTCACACCCTTTCCCTCTCTTAGCCGTGTGTAAAACCCACACACAAATACATGGAAAAACATTTCTCTTATAAGAGGTGAAGGCTAACAAAAAAAACATCTCCATCCCATTATTTTCGTACACCACCAAAAAACCAAGGGAAGGAGACAAGCTCCACTTCACATGCGTGGCATCATGGGTCCACTTCACATGCATTTGTGCGTATGCATGCATATTCTCCTTTTTTTTTCTTTTTTTAATAAACCAATCTCTGAACCTTCACCTTCAAACCTTCAAACTCAACATCCGTCATTTTTTTGTCCTCTGAACCTTCACCTTCAAAGCTTTGATTGTCCCTTCCCGAGTAAGAACACTTTTTACTCGTTGTTGCCACAGAGTAAAATCACCACGTTCATCGAAAGGTTCGACGGAAACATTCGAACTTTTTACTGATGCCATTTTTCAAGTCCCTTGACTTTCTTCTCTTACCGCTTAGAAATCCCTCCGCCCCAAATGTAACTTGGCTCTGATACCAATTGTTGAAATTTTAAGTGCGTAAGACTATTAAAATATCAACAACGTGAAAAATAAATAAACACACTACACAAGAAGAAAATATGATAGAAAAATTATATCTTCACTATTTCAGAACGATACACAAAAAACTCTCCTTGTTTACAAGTGCTAAATACCAGACACTTATAAACAGATTTTTCACACCCTACACCCGAATGTATTTTCGAGTAACTGAATAATAGTTACTTCCTACACTCACTCACACAATATTGGTGATATCTTGTGTAGCACCACTCTCTTCACACCCTTTCCCTCTCTTAGCCGTGTGTAAAACCCACACACAAATACATGGAAAAACATTCCTCTTATAAGAGGTGAAGGCTAACAAAAAAAACATCTTCATCCCATTATTTTCGTACACCACCAAAAAACCAAGGGAAGGAGACAAGCTCCACTTCACATACATGGCATCATGGGTCCACTTCACATGCATTTGTGCGTATGCATGCATATTCCCCTTTTTTTTCTTTTCTTTTCTTTTTTTAATTAATCAATCTCAACACCTTCATCCATTACAGGTGAATGAATTGGCAAAATTGTAGAGTTGAGTTTAAAAATATAGAGTTGTCTTTTTTTAATTAATCAATCTCAACACCTTTATTTTCACTTTTGTATATTTTTGTGATTGTGAACTTGAGAAGGCGTACCGAAGGGTGCTAAGGGAGGTGTCTTGAGTCGAGAGGGGTTACTATCACATACATTTGTCTACTATCACAATCCTTCACTCTTTTGGCGTGAGCTCGACAAATTATGTGGTAAGTTGATTCACAGTACTGCCAAAGTATTTCTATCTAAGAGGGAGCCACTAGGCAACTTTTTGAGCAGGCCTGTAAAATTGGTTAAGCAAACATTGGGTGCAGAGTCTTCTGTCCTTTGTGAAGACCCCAAGCCCCTGTGGATTATTCAACCTTAACTCCCTTTGGAAAATACACAAAGCATTGGCATAGAGGAAACTACATTTGATGGTCAATATTTTGAGGATTTGACCCTCTGCTTGTTAATATTGAATTCAACATTGCTGTGCCGGAGGTTTCTGATAAGTCCATCCCAAGTATTCTTTTTCAAGAGGACATTAATGAGTTTACCCACTCACACCTTGTTCTTGACATCTTTTGTGAAGGAGATTTCCATGAGGAATTCAAACTGCTGGAGCCCATGTTCAATGAGCACTTCAAATCTTTTTTCAAGGAGACAACTTGCTATATTAGGGAGGCAATGAACATTCGCAATATGTTAAATTAAATCTCATAACTTAAAAAGGTAAATTGGGTAGTGATTTAAAAACATTTAAAACATGATTTTCTCAAACAAGATAAAATAATTTTTGCAGTAATTTAAATTAAACATTGCGGAAGCTGAATAAGGTTTAAAATAATTACAAGTATGGGTTCAAGTCCCAAAGTATTTTAAAATATTAAAAATAGTCACACATCTTTCTGCTAACTCTCACATCTCAGCATCCTTCGGATTTGACGCCATAACTATGATTATATACGCACAGTCACATAACAAAGGAAACTGCACGGTGATAATTGAGTTTTTCGGTAAGCCAACCTTCCCAATGAAGGGTCAGTTTTCTCTGAGTGTCGTGTCTCTCAAGGAGTGGACGAAGGGAATTAGCTGATTTTTCTAACTAGGCGAAGGTTTGAACGAGTCTAGAAATCGTCTCGATTTGATTTGAAATTAAATATTAACAAAACTACTTGGTGATTTTGAGAAAAAGAATAAAAGTACGGGAATAGAACTAGACTTTAGGCCAAGGCATCATCTAGGTTAACTACTGTTGTCACATATTTAATCAATAAATGGAATAATAATATTTCTGTCATAAATGTTTCATTAACTTATCCTCTCTCAAGGTATCATTAATGTGTTCTAAAAAGTTTGGCTTAATTATTTTTATATCCTCACATACAAGGAAAAAATTAAATTCCAATAATTAATGAATTTTTCTCTCAACATAATTAATTTGACAATAAAAATAATTTTAGAACAACTATTCTAACTATTAAATAAATATACAGAGTATATGCCAAAATTTAGCTTAGAGTGCATGGAAAAGAAAATATTTTATTAAAATTGCAACTATTAAAATTTACAACATAGAGCAGAGTCAGAGCCACTTTGGGACAACCAGAACAAAAATAAAATATTAAAATATAACTGAGAAAAGAGCGGAGAATGGAGTTTCGGACCTTAAAGACCCAGAGAGGAGGCGATCTTGAATGGAGGGGTGAAGCTCTCTTTTTATAGGAGAAAATTTCGGTCTAGAGAGGCAATTCAACAGTCTTATATTTTGTAATGGCTATCATCAAATTTCAAGGTCAAATATTATCATTTATTGGACTATTTTAAACCAAGTCGTTGTTCACTCATCGTAAGACTTATGTTGATGTTTCACGAGTGAAGACAAAGAGAATATTAAAAACATTAGTTCTAAATGACAATGGAGACCCTTGCAATCATACTAAAAATATTTTATACCCTGAAGTCTTTCAGAAAGTTTTGTATTAAAACAAAGTTTGTTGAGTATACATTCAATTCCTCGAATAGTATTTATTCTCATTTGGCTTCTTTGTCTATAGAATTAAAAATGATGTAAGAAATATATTTTATTTACTCGAGAAAAAATATTACATTAAAAAATACCCGAATCACTAAAATTTCGTTCAATCCCGTGCGTGGCACGGGTAGAAATACTAGTTTAGTAATATAGGACATGCAAGTTCTTAGTAGAAGACGTGAGGTACCTTGGAGAATATTTTTTGGTGTGTGCTTTTCAAAAATAACAAAACTTTCAATTCTAATGGCCAAATGGACACAATGTATCTTGATGTACATTATCACAAATTGTAATAATCTACAAAGTATATTCATATAATGTGAGACCTATGAGTTCTTACAAAAAATAAAGAACATCTTGAAATATATTTGAAATAATGTAAAACTTGTAAATTCTTACCAAAAAATTGAGGATAGTTAGACGTAATTTTCTATTTTCAAAAGAGTAAATTTCATAATTGATCTTTTATAACGGGGGGTTTCCATAATTAGTCCACTATTAACAAATATTACCTCCGTAGTCCTTCGTTTATGGGTATCTTTTCATAAATAGTCTTTTTTATCTTCTACTATGTTGGTTTTAATTTAAAAGCTAAAAGTATAATTTGACATCAACCTTATATTCAACGACATATTCTGATATTGGTTATATGGGTAACACAAAAATAACGATTATGATTGTGGGATAGGATTCCAACGAAAGACCACATCTGTAGACTTTAGTTGTAATAGAAAGCGATTTAAATTTATAAACGACGATCAGGAGCGGCCTTTAAATTTGTGTATGACAAGAAACATATATTATCATTGTGAAATTTCACTTTTAGCCTTCAAATTAAAATCAACATAATAAAATATAAAAAAATTTATTTATGGAAAGATACTCATAAAAGAAAGACCATCAAAGTAATATTTCATAAAAATGATTAAATAATGGAATTTACTCTTTTCAAAATTTCCAAACTCTTGTTCCAATAGCTTAGTTTTAAAAAAACTCTCGAAAAAGAAAGGAAAAACTACACAAGTAACCAGTGCCTGAGATCTTAAAGCAAGCTCAGCTCCATCAACAACCGCTTCGTCGAACGCACGGCTTCCCTCTATCCCAGTCTCCTCCCGACGGAAAGAAGCCCCAAAAGCCATCGACCTGCTCCAACCGGCACATCTTCACCGGATTAACCTCCGGCGAATTCTTGACGCCTTTAACAATATACATCCATCTCACTGCGGCCTGAAAAAAAACCCAACTCCAAGCATAAGCTACGTGGTTTACACCAGTCCGAGTGCCTCTGTGTCCGCCACTCAATTTCTCATCAGGTTTGACGGATCTGTGTATGTAGGCTTACATATTCATCTGATTTCTTATCCGAGGTTAGGTGTGTGTGTGTGTGTATGGTTTAGATCTATGTATTAATTCAAATGTATATGTATGTGTATATCCCATTTCGTTGATGATATGAACATTTTGTATGAACAAGCTCATATCTGTCACTTTTTTCTTTGTAAACATATTGTAAGAAAACCTTCTGTCTGCCAATTTGGGGTTGTCACCAAATTGGTAATATCAGAAAATTTAGAACAATGAGTTGTCATATCAATGTGTTTATAAATAAATGGTCGGTAGAATTTTTTTTCTTCTTTCCATTATTTTTTCATGAAATTTCGGGCAACTCCATCTGTTTGGGGGCTAGAATTTGAATAAATAGTTGAGTAGGAAAAGTAGAGAGATTGTTTATGCAGATTTTGCTGCCAACTAAAATAGTGTGAAGCCATTGAATTAAGTTTTTAAACAACTGTAGTGTGAAGGGAGTGTGTGATCCCGTTAAAATGCTTATCAACTGATCGGGCGTGTTATTGTCCACCTTGATTATTATATTTGAACATTATTACTGTTTTTGACTTCCAATTGTAGTTTGTTGGGAATGGACGAGGAGCTTGAAAAGGATGCTGGGGATACAAAAAGCAAAGTGGCTGCCACACATACCAAGGCTGTGGTAAAGACAAACAAGAAGAAGAAAGGTCTGATATCAAGAATGTGGAATGCACTCTTCAGATCTGGCAGAGATGATTTTGAGAAGAGATTGCAACACATTTCCAAAGAGGAGGCTGCCGTTATTCAGAGAATTACAAGGCGTTCTCAAAGTTTTAGTAGGATCTTAAGAAACCTCATTATACTTTCTGTACTTTTCGAGGTAAAGCTTAACTAAATCATAATCTTAAAGACAATCAAGCATTTTTTTTCTTTTAAGGCTTTCGTTACCTCTACGGTGTGTTACATAGTTACGGAGTATTTCATTAAAAACCTTTGAAGTATAGTTTAATATTTTCTATGTACAAAAGTATTCCTTTTCTAAATGTTTTTCGAGTGAAGCTTATTTGCAACCAATCTTCTCATTTTTGTTTTCTGTTTGCATTTTAACAACCGATTTGTGATGGTCTAAAAGGAAACCATGATCATGCACTTCTTAATCCCCTGCTTAATCAGTCTAATCAAATATGACATTCAGTAGCAAAGGAGCAATTGAAACAAGGACTTATGTGCACTCTTTGCATGCAATTTCACCGTGCCGGAATTCTCAAGCTGTCATGTACTTCCAGACTACTGGTTATGCCTTGACCGCTTGATTACAGGAACCGCTTTTTCATGCTAAGTGTTAGGCTGTTATCAAAAATATGATTTTTCTGTAGCTAGTATCATAACTCGCTGTCACACTGGAGTTGTGAACAGTGTGTTTGGTGTGTGCAATCCTTGGATCTTACCTAGTGATAACAAGCTAAGCTTGTAAGCTGTAAGCTACATGATACATGAGTACATGACCACTAATTGCCCATTCGAAATTAATCAAAGATGTGTTGTCATACTATTATGAGATTATTTGTCAATATTTCTATGAAGCTTTTAAAAGCTGTGATGCTAGAAGCCTAGATCTAGTCTATCATATTTGTTTTTAAATATTATCTAATAGTCTTGCCCCTGCAAAATGTTTTGATTGTCAGGCTATTTCTGTGGGTTATGCTATCATGACTACTAGATCCCTTGACCTAAATTGGAAACTGAGAGCTCTGCGCGTTTTGCCAATGTTTCTATTACCTGGACTATCTTTCGTTTTGTATTCAGCACTTGGAAGCTTCAGAAGGATTTGTAAGAACTTAGTTTTGTTAACTGTTTTTCTTATAAAAAATGCTTAAAATATTAGTTCTGTTAAGTGTGCAAAGTATATAGTCTAAGGATATATTTTTATTCTACTTGCTTTTTAATCAGGAATTGAACCTTTTATTTCTTCATTCCTGAAACATTGGATAAAACTTATTACTCTATATGATGGGTCTTCGGATAAAACTTATTAGTCCTGAATTAATGCTTGTGCATACATTCAAATATTACTTTTTTAGTCAAACTGGACAAACTTTAATCATCATTTACTCTATATTTGCATTATGTATTAATACAATGAAATAATTTTCTAAAATATTTTCGCAAGATAAATCTCGGGAGAAATATGACCTTCATGTTTTTATCCCCAAAGTAAGACTTACAATGTCAATAATGTCAACATATACTACCAAAAAATACTATGGAATGCTAATATACAATGCCACATTGTCACAGTTTAAGGTCCTATTTGGGGATAAAAACATGTTTGTCCTATTTTGGGGATATATGTTGTGTTTTACGCTTATTTTGGGTGATTTCTTATAAATCCAACAATGAAATCATTTTTGTACTAATATGCAATATAATTTTTATTTAATTAATGATCAAAATTTGTCTATTTTGACTCAAAAAAGTCAAACTGCACAAGAACTTTGGGACGGACGTAATATTTAGTTTGCAGTTTTATCACTTTGATGCATATGACCTGTGGCTTCTCAACAAAAAGTGCTTTAGTTTCATTTATCAATTGTAATGCAGTAAAATTTATACATCATGCACTCGGTTCTACTGTTTTGTTCTTTTTTGTTGAATATCATTTAAAAAGTGTTGTTTAAATCAAGAAGAAAATCTTTTTATTATTTAAGTATGTAAGAAAAATATCTGAAGTCATAATTGGTAATTTGGTGTCAAGTTTTACTCCTTTATTTGTGGTTTGCTTTTGTTTCTCAAAAGGTTGTCATTTATCATGAGGCTGATGTTTTCTGGCAACCTAAAGAAAGTTGGCATGTAAAACTTGAACTTTGTGGTATATGCGTGTCATATGTCTGAAATGTGTTTGCCTCATTGTTGAGCTAAGTAATGAATTTTGGTCATAAATTTATATTTAGTTTTCACGTCTTTGGTCTTGTACTTTGAAAGCTTATGCCTTCGACACAATATTTTAAGGTGACAACAAGGATAACAAAACCTTGGAAAGGCTCCGTGCTGAAAGGAAAGCAAAGATTGATGAACTCAAGGAGAGGACGAATTACTATATTACACAACAACTCATTCAGGTAAACAACACAAGTATGCAACTGGAATGCTACGTTCTTTTCAATCTGTGTGGATACCCAAGCAGATGAACACAGCACTGTGGCACTGCATTAATACTTACCTAGCCAGGCAAATTGCTCCGCCGCAAATTTTTGTTTCTTTTTTTTCCCGTATATCTCATACAGTCATACTTTAATGAATAAAATAAGTGAGTGATTTTTTTATGCTAGAACCCACCCAATAAGGTTTTTTTATTATTAATAATGTAGCATTGCTTGGTTTTCAGCTTGGCATAGCTTAGATGCATGGAACAAATGGAGTTCATCCAATGTTTTAAAAATATTAGGTGGCCTAATCAGAAAAAAAAACAGTAGATGTAGGCAGGGCCTAATCAGAAAAAAAAACAACTTCGAGTGCATAAGGAGATCCTAATGCCTAGAAGCGTCCCTCGTGCAGAATTGTGATTTGGCTACATGGGAGTGTCTCGAGAGTATTGCTTTTTGCTTCTTTTCGAAAGCGCTAAATTTCATACCTTCAATGTAGTCACTGATTTGGCCACACTGTTTACTGCTTTATGGCTATCAGGTTGTCTTTTATGAACATGTTACACCTTGAGACTATGGTGAGACCGAAATACTTTATATTCAAATGTAAAATTTGAATATTAATATACTACTCCCTTCACTCATAAATAGATTCCACTTTCTAAGCAAGTTCTTGTCCCAAAAAATAAGTCCAATCTAAACAAAAGAAGATAATTTATCATATTTAGGATTTTTTTAAAAAAAGTGTACCAAACAAGTCGAGTGGATTAAATTTAGTTAAATCAATAAAATATTTTTAAAAAAAGCTAGATTTGATGATCTGTAATCATTATATACCTTTGCAAAATTTGAAAGTTGTACTGTTTTAAAACACAACTTATAATGACATGGAGGGGGTGCTTTTTTGATCTATTCAATTCATTATGCCCAAGCTTTTCTTATTCCACTAACTTGATCAGTGCCGAGATGTTTGATGATGTCGTGGTGTGCAGAAGTACGATCCTGACCCTGCTGCTCAGGTTGCAGCTGCCACTGTGCTGGCTTCCAAGCTTGGTGCGGATAGTGGGCTGAAGGTGTTCGTGGGAGACGAGACTCAACATAATGCCCCTCCTGCTGGAAAGAGTAATGATGCTGAGGTTGTAAATTCCACTGGACTTCGAAACAGAAAACAACCGACTACCAGATCAGTTGGGTCTGGAAGGAGTACCACAACGGCAGTGGTCCATTCCGAAGAAAACAAAGTTCCCTCTCAAGCAATGCTAGTAGAGGGTTCTGATGCGACGGAGCATCATCCGCTGGTCGTTGAGCATCACAACCCAACAAGCTCAACCCCACAAAATGGAGGGTGGATCTCGCGTATCGCGGCACTGCTCGTGGGCGAGGATCCAACACAGTCCTATGCACTTATTTGCGGCAACTGTCATATGCACAACGGTATGATCCCTCCCAAGTCATCACAATCTTATTATTATTATTATTACTATTTTTGGGATAATTTTCATCACCACCACAAAAAAAGATTAATGGAGGAATGGTCGTTTTCCTTAAGCAGGGCTTGCTAGGAAAGAAGACTTCCCCTACATTACATACTACTGCCCACATTGCAATGCCTTGAATAGGCACAAACAATCTGAAGACCGCTCCTCCGGCTCCAACACCCCGGGCTTAAGCTCTTCTGTGATGACCGATGCTGAGGTGAGTAATAATTCTAGTCCATCTCCCGTTGCAGAGAATAACATCTCTGGCGCTAGAGACAGCTTGCCTGGCTCTGTTGGGACAGAAGGCCACACAATTCCTGATGTTCCCAATACATAGCTTGACCGACCTGTGCTTCTTTCGATTGGGTTCTCCTTGTGGGGGACATACAAAAACAGCAGGTTGCCTTGTATCTTGTTTTTTTATTTACATTTAAAACAAAAACTTGTGATCGAAAGTGTTGTACTGTACCAATTGTTTTACTATGCGGCAGATAGTCGGTCTTTCCCGGGTGCAAGAATTGTTCATTTGAGTTTTTCATTTTCTCAATGAAATTTTGTCCAGCTATATATATAGTTCATGTAATGCCAGGCTTCTTATTGTGAACATAAAGTTTTATAGAAGCGTCCATATAACTTTGATACTTTTTCCCCTCATTTCATTTTCTGAAGTGTCGTTTATTTCCAACCTCATTTCGGCGTCCATTGAGGAATACGAATATATGTACAAGAGTGTAGATTTGTGGCGTTTGAGTTCTCAAAAATATGGTGGTTTTGGATTTATTTCCAAGGATCTAGGGGTTTATTTTTGAGTTCAAAAAAGAACTGAACTGTGTTTCATGAAAGAAAATAAACATAAATCTAAGAATAATAATTTATTATGAAAGTATAGATGTTCGTTGGAGATACTCTAATAGGTTAAAAGTGTATTATTGCTGACCAAAAGGTATTTCAATAAAAGTTTACGGAATTCAAAAGTTTAGATGCATAGTAAGTGTAAAAGAGGTACGGTGCACTTCAAGACCAAGTAAATAATGAAGGGGACCAAGGTCTTTTGTCTAAAACTCTTGACACATACAGTCAATAAAAGCCTGAGCAAGACAAGTGGAGCTACGTACAAAAATAACATCATCAACATAAACAAGCAAAATAAGAGTTCTCATAGAACCACGTGAGATGAACAGACTCGTGTCATGTTCATTTTTTCAAAATCTCTAGAAGAACAGAATGCAGACAAGCGCAAATAACAAGTGCGAGGGGTCTACTTCAAGCCATATAAAGATCTGGTGAGTTTACACACATGACGAGGGAAATTTGAATCAACATAACCTGGGGGCTGAGACATGTAGATATCATCATCTACTTCAACATGCACGAGGCATTGGATACATCCAACTGGTGAAGGGACCACTGATAGTTTAGAGAAAGAGAAAAAATAATACGTATAATCTATTGTTTGACCACAGGACTAAAGGTCTCAAAGTAGTCCAGCCCATACTTCTGATTGTAGCTCTTGGCTTTAAGACACGCCTTATAGCACAAGATAAACGCTTTAGTGGCACACTTTATTTTATAAACCCATTTGCAGCCAATCGAAGCTCGACGTAGAGGCCGAGGAACAAGCTCCCATGTATTCTGTTTTATCAAAGTAGCATACTCCTCAAATGAACTGTCAGGATTAATAACTTAGAATCTTTAGGGTTAAGTTAGAGTTTTCCTTTACCTTTATATATGGATATACCATTCTCTCCATTGACATAGAAGAGAAATATTAAACACTAGTTTCATACTTCATATTTTGTAGAAGTCCGATGACGCTCGAATTTCCTTCCTACCCAATACGTTTCACGTATAAATATATTATTTTTATGCACATTCGTGAACAATTAAATTAATGCGGTTTTTATTTCAAAAAAAATAATTAATGCGGTTTCAAATTTTTACTTTTATTTTACCATTTGAGAAGTTATATACTTATATTACTTACTTCCTACGTCTCAAAAATAGCTACCATATATCTCTAAACAAAATGAAAATTTTCATGCCTTTTAAATTTATCTTAGTTACAAATTCATATAGAAATATAAAATACAACTTATATAAGAAATATTTTATTACAATTTGTGCAAACACGAGCACGGTTAAATTAAAATGGTAATTTCTCACCCATTCTCAAATAAGAGCTCTCTCAGTAGTGTGGTTAGCCAAATGTCTACTCTGAATTACATTTAATTTTACTCAAATTTTATCTAACTCGATTCACTTTCACTCAATTTCAACAAATTTTAACCAAATTGTATATAATTTCATAAAATTTTATTCAATTTACTTAATAGCATTCAATTTAAATCAAGAGAAATAATTATTGGACATAAAATTGAATGAATTTCACTAAATTTTACTTAATTTTAATTGATATTCATCCCATTAGAGTCAATTACATTTGATTAGAACACGACATTACTCTAATTTAGTTTTTTATATTTGTATATATTCAAGCTCGTATTTATTGTATTTCATCTAATTGGATTTAATTTTATTTAATTTCAACCAAATGCGTGGAGTTTCACCTAATTCTACTTTAATTTAAAGTGATTATATTCAATTTCATCGAATTAAGGATGAAATTGATTGAATTTCAAATAATTTTTCTAAACTCAGCAATCATATGTATTCATTCATTACAATAATTTTTAAGAGTAAAATTGAATGAATATCAATTAGTTTTACCTAATTTCACTAAACTTTTACTTAGTTGCAATCAACTCTCCGTCACCGGTACGGTTCCCAGAACCATCGGTACCGGTTCAGAACCGGAACCGTGTCCACCTCTGAAATATCAGTTTGTAATATCACACTTGTATATTACCATACTCGTTACAGATGTTCTTATTATTTATATATTCCTGATATTTATAAAATTGGTATTATTTGTGATCCCCGTTTTAAAACTGAAAATTTAAAAATTCTCATAGAGTATTACTATAGTTGTTTTTTAGATGAAAATGGTTATTATTATGAGCATTTAATAGAATAGACGAAAGAAAGAGATAATGCTATTAACCATTTTTACTATAATGAATTTTAAGTTTTGTATGGTAGTCCTCCATAAGAAACAACAACTCGTTCTGCCCCGAAGACAAAAAAATCCAAGGGGTAGTTGGTAGCCTCTTGGTGAGAAAAAGGTAAGAGTGCCTCTACAAGTATAGGTGGTACATCAATAAGTTCGAACAACGAACTTTTGATGTGCCAAGGCTTCCCATGCGACTACGATGAAGACAAAGACGAGTTCAACGTCCTCAACTGGTGGAATCGGAATGAACACATGTTCTCATCACTCGCAATCCTAGCTAGGAAGATGTTATCAACCGTAGCTGTGGAACAAGAGTTCAGTTCTAGTGACAATATTTTAACCGACTTTCGGACTTTGCTTAGCGCTGAATCGCTGGAGACACTTGTTTGCAACTGAGATTGGCTCTTGGCAAGGCATCGAGCACAAGAGGCAACCTATGATATGGATACACAAAATTACATTGATGCAACCACTGAGGAAAGTGGTAGTTCTGACGAATGACTTAGTTTTTTTTTCTTAAATTGTAATTAATATTTTTAGGTGAGCAACTTATAAGCCTCTTTGAGGGTTTCGTAACGGTTTTTTACCTCGTCGCTTTTTTTGAACCGACAAGGTAATAAATATAGTTGTACTATCCAATTTTCATTATTCAAATAACAACTACATTTTTTGATTATATATATATATATATATATATATATATATATATATATATATATATATATATATATATATATATATATATATAATATTATAAAATAAAAGAAATTAAACAGGACCAGAAAATCAACCCGGAACCGCCGGTTTTGGATCTGGCATAGGTACCAGTGAAGCTGGGTGCTAAGAACAGGGGAAGGGGGGAACTGGAACCGGCCCGTGTCTAGGTCTATTTACTCAATATTTTTACCTAGGGGTGAGCATGGTACGGTACGATACAATATTTAGCCCGTAGCGATACTGTACCGAATATTTTGGTTCGGTATAGGATTTTACGTCGTACTGATCCCGAAATTTTAGTTAAGTATAGTTCGGGATGGTTCCGTATCATATCGATTTCGGGATAAATCAGGATGGACATATGTACCTAATTTAAATTTTAAAGTTTCACGAATTTTTTTAAAAATAAAAATTATATTTAAACAAAAAAATAAAATTGAAAAATTAAATGCATGAACTTAGTTTATATCTCACAAATTACAATGAATGGATGATAAAAAATGATATTTTATTTTATTTTTTTTGAAACAAAAAAAATGTGTGTTACTACTTTTAAATTCTTTTACAAAAAATTAAAAAAGTCAAATAAAAGTACAATGTACACATAATAAAATTTGAGCCAAATTTTAAAAATAAAATTATTATTCAAAGAAAAAATATAAAATGATTATTATATTTATAATATATTAGTATATATATTTGGTTAGAGATTTTCGGTATGAGAAGTTTTTTCGTACCATTCTCAAATATTGAATCGAACATTTGGTTCGGTACGGTTCAATAACTTATTAGTATTTTTAGGGTTCAAAATTTTTAGATTCCATTTTTTCAGTTTTTTTTCGAGATATTTGGAGTATAGGCATCACTAATTTTACCTCTTACCATAAAGTCCATTTGATTGGGTTGCATTATTTGTGAGAAATTATAGAGTAGTTTAATTTGTTTCCGGAGTTTCTGAATTCCGTCCGAGATGTGTTTAAACCGTCGTCTCGAATCATCAAGGCCATGTCGGAAGTGACTAATTTGAGAAGAAATGGCGTCCAGTGCAGCCGGCGTGCTGAGCAGTGCTTCACCGCCATGCCTAAGAACGAGCCGAAACCCCAAGGTACACGAAAGGCCTTCTACTTCTTTCTCTTTGGATTGCTCTGCTTCGACTTCTGCTGCTACCAGTACTTCGAGTACTGAGCATGACCCGAGCCGGAAATTTAGCTACAGTAGAGCTTCTCCTTCTGTGAGATGGCCACACTTGACATTCCCTGGTAATAATCAATTCACTGTTTACCCTTCCCCACCACCGGCCCCTACGGAAAACGAAAATGATTTCAGATTTAAGGTAGAGATGAATGATGAGGGCCAGGATAGTAATAGGACCAGGAGTAGGACAAAGGCTAAGAAAATGAACAAATTGGAGTTGAAGAGGGACAAAGAATGGCGAAAGAGGGTACAGCTTCTAACGGATGAAATCTTAGGGTTGGGGTCTGATGAGTTTGTGGCTGATGTGTTGGAAAAGAAGTTGGTGCAGATGACTCCCACTGATTACTGCTTTATGGTGAAGTGGGTTGGGAAGTGTAGTTGGCAGAGAGCATTGGAAGTCTACGAGTGGCTGAACCTTCGTCACTGGTACACTCCTGATGCTAGGATGTTGGCTACGATACTTGGTGTGCTTGGGAAAGCCAACCAGGAAGCATTGGCTGTGGAAATCTTTACGCGGGTGCAGCCCACTGTTGGCTACACAGTGCAGGTGTATAATGCAATGATGGGTGTTTATGCTCGAAGTGGACGATTCACTAAAGTCCAGGAATTGATAGGTTTGATGCGCAAACAAGGATGTGATCCAGACCTTGTGAGTTTTAATACACTGATAAATGCACGATTAAAGTCAGGGCCTATGACCCCAAATTTTGCAATTGAACTTCTAGACGAGGTCAAGAGTTCAGGGCTTCGGCCTGACATAATTACATATAACACTCTTATCAGTGCTTGTTCACGCCACTCAAACTTGAAGGAAGCTGTGAATGTTTTTAGCTATATGGATACTCACAAATGCCAGCCTGATTTGTGGACCTACAATGCTATGATTTCAATTTTCGGAAGATGTGGTCTTGCTTGTGAGGCTGAAAGGATCTTTAAGGATCTAGAGTCGAAAGGGTTTCGTCCAGATGCGGTGACATATAATTCACTGGTATATGCGTTTGCAAGGGAGGGAAATTTTCAAAAGGTTAAGGTCACCTGTGAAGAAATGACAAAGATGGGATTCGGGAAGGATGAGATGACTTATAACACCATGCTGAGCATGCATGGAAAGAAGGGACAGCATGATATTGCTCTCCAACTTTATCAAGAGATGAAGTCTTCAGGCCGAGATCCTGATGTAGTAACCTACACAATTCTTATTGACTCACTGGGGAAAGCAAACAAGATGGCAGAAGCTGCAAATGTGATGTCAGAGATGTTGAATTCTGGGGTTAAGCCAACTGTGAAAACATATTGTGCTTTGATATGTGGTTATAAAAAAGCTGGGAGGCAAAGGGAGGCTGAAGAGATGTTCAATTGCATGAAACGTTCTGGCATCAAACCTGATCGGTTGGCATACAGCCTTATGCTGGACATGTGTTTGCGGTCTGAAAATACTAAGAAGGCACTGTTGTTGTATCATGACATGATAAATAACGGATATTCTCCAGATCTTTCTCTTCATGAATCCATCCTAAAAGTATTAGGGAGAGAAAATGAAAAAGACGGTATCCATAAAGTGGTCCAGCACTTGGAAGAAGTCTGTCATTTGAGCCTGGACGACATTTCATCTCTACTTGTTAAGGGGGAGTGCTATAATTTTGCTGCCAAAACGTTGAAGTTAGCCATAACACAAGGTCATAAACTGGACAAGGACAACTTCTTGTCTATTCTGGGATTTTATAGCTCCTCTGGGAGGCACTCGGATGCTATGGAATTGCTAGATTTTGTGAAAGAGCATACTGCAGATTCTCAGAAGTTTTTAAGGGATACAATGATTGTCTTACTCTGCAAGAGTAACCAGTTGGATGCTGCTTTGGCGGAGTACTTCAGAAGTTGCAACTACAGTAGTACATGCAATGCCAGTGTTGCTGCGTGTGAGTACCTCATCAAATGTTGTGAGGAAGCTGAACGATTTGCTGAGGCTTCTCAAATATTTTCTGACATGAGAGCCAGTGGGCTGCAACCTTCTCGGGATGTTTACAGAACCATGGCTACTATCTACTTGACAATGGGGTTCCCAGAGACAGGCCATTACTTGGTCAATCAAGCAGAAATGCAAGGCATACCTCTTGATGATGTTTCCATTTATGTATGCCTAATCAATGCTTATGGAGAGCTGAAGCTACTGGAAAAGGCTGAAGATATTATGGGAACTCTGAGACAGAGGTTTAATGTTGTAGACCGAACAGCTTGGAATGCATTAATACAAGCGTATGCTCTGAGTGGCTTCTATGAGAAAGCGAGAGCAGCTTTCAATACAATGATGAGAGATGGTCCCTCACCTACAGTGGATACCATCAACAGTCTCTTGGATGCATTGATTATTGGTGGCAGATTAAATGAGCTGTGCATTGTGATGCAGGAAATAAAAGATATGGGTTTTAAAGTTAGTAAGAGTTCCTTCACTTCGATGCTTGATGTGTTAGCAAAAGCAGGGAACCTAAATGAAACTAAGAAAATATACCTTGGAATGAAGGCTTTTGGGTATTTTCCTACCATGCAGCTTTATAGAGTGATGATTGGGCTATTTTCCAGTGCAAAACAAGTTAGAGATGTTGAAGCCATGCTTTCTGAAATGGAGGAATTAGGGTTCAAGCCTGACATTTCAATTTGGAATTCCGTGCTCAAATTATTTACTAAAAGTGAAGATTTCAAGAAGACCGTGAACATATTCCAACGAATTCAAGAAGCTGGACTCAAACCAGATGCACAAACTTACAGTATACTGATAACTATGTACTGTAGGGATTGTAGTCCTGAACAGGGTCTTAAACTTCTGAAAGAAATGAGACTGCAAGACTTGATTCCTGAGATGGGCACCTACAAAAGTCTAATCGCTGCTTTTTGTAAAGAGCTGATGCTGGAAAATGCTGAGGAACTCTTTGGTGGCCTTGTAGCAGAGGGTCATAGGCTTGACCGCTCAATCTATCACATAATGATTAAAATGTATAGGAGATGTGGTAATTGTTCTAAAGCTGAACAATTAATACTGAAGATGAAGGAATCTGGAATTGAGCCTTCTACTGCAACAATGCATTTGCTGATGACTTCTTATGGGAGCTCAGGCAATCCTACAGAAGCAGAGGAAGTGCTGAATAATTTGAAGAGAACTGGTGCAAGTCTTAGCACATTACTATATAGTTCAGTTATTGATGCGTATCTTAAGAATGGTGAACATAATGTCGCCATTCAAATGCTTAAGGACATGGTTCAAGATGGGACAGAACCAGATCACCGAATATGGGCTTGTTTCATTCGTGCGGCTAGTTTATGTGATGATATCACGGAAGCCAAAATTTTATTAACTGCTATTGCAGAAGCTGGTTTTAATCTTCCTTTAAGGCATGGTTTGATCTTAGCATAGTTATTATTTTTTTACCATGTAGACTACAGGCTCTTTCCACATTTATATTATTACATAAAATAGAAATGTTATTATTTTTTTAGGCTTTTGGCAGAGCATTCTGAATCACTAGCTGTGGAGGCAGATCAATACCTTGAGCAAATTGCATCTACAGAACATGATGCTGCATTTAAGTTTGTCAATGGTTTGGAAGACCTGTTGTGGTCTTTTGAGCGGCGAGCCACTGCTTCATGGATATTCAAGTTGGCAATCAAAAGGAACATTTTTCATCATAATGTGTTTAGGTAGTGTATTAAATAGTTTACTCATGCATAGGGTGTTGCTTTATTATCTGCTTACAGTTCAATATTTGAAATTTCACATGCATGCGGAGCTTCATTAAATGCTTCTATGCAATGTGATATTTTAATCGATTCTGCTTTTATATTCATTTTGTCTTTCACTAGTGGCGATTTTATTGGCAGGGTGGCTAACAAGGACTGGGGGGCTGATTTCAGAAAATTATCTGCCGGAGCAGCTTTAGTTGGCCTAACTTTATGGCTTGACCGCATGCAGGCAATGTCTCCCCTTTTCAAGTTTGCTAATGAAACAATTTAGAAGCTCTGAATATTTTGTAGTTTGCAACTTAATTTCATCAGCTCTACAAATTTTTACTTGTGAATGTTAGCTTCAAATGTTTATTCACACCTCACAGGCAACATTAGTTTTGATTTTAAAAGCATAAATTACACTAGAAACTTGGAAGTAACATGATGGACTAACCTGAAATTTTATTCTTTCTTCAGAACCTACTTGATGTAGGAGTGACATCGGATGTGCCTTCTATTGGTTATCTTTGCAGTTATCTTACCATTGTAGTTTTGTTTCTAAATTTGTGGTTTATGAACTGCATTGGGCAGTCTTTAACAAGCCAAAATTTGGATGCACTTATTTTAATGTGATACTGGCTTGCAGGATGCTTCACTGAAGGGGTTCCCTGAATCCCCAAAATCTGTTGTACTAATCACTGGTACAGCAGAATACAACCAGGTTTCATTGAATAGTACATTGAAGGCATACCTTTGGGAGATGGGGTCTCCATTTCTCCATTGTAAAACCCGAACCGGAGTGTTGGTAGCCAAAGGCCATTCCTTACGGATGTGGCTGAAAGACTCCCCATTTTGCTTGGATCTGGAGTTGAAAAATACAACTACAGCGACAGAGGCTAATTCAATGCGACTTATCTCTGGTTGTTATATGAGACGTGGTCTTGTTCCAGCTTACGAGGACATAATTAAGCGGCTTGGGCTGGAAACCCCCAAGAAGTTTTCAAGGCTCACAGTGCTTCCAGATGATAAAAGGGAGAGAGCAGTTAAATCTTACACTGAAGGGCAAAACGGAAAGTCAGTCAGGTCGATTAATATTGGGATGATAAGAAAGAAGAAAATACAAAACTTTGTGAAGAAAAGACTAATCAGGCAGGCGAATCCATGAAAAAGGTTCCCCCGCAGTTAAAACTTAAAACTCATCACCTGTACAGTAATTTTTCCATGGAATGATGTCAACTCTTACATTCTTACTCCGTTTATTATTACTGAGTATTATTATTGTTGTTGTTAGCATTATTATTGTTGTTATTGTAATTATTGTAATAATATTTTTTCTCCGTGGTGCAGTCTTTCGGCAAATGACAAGTCAATTGCCAGCTCACCACATGTCCGACTAGCTTGATGGCGTGGCTGTGATTGGTTAGTTTGCATTTAGCCAGCTTTGTTCTCTTTCATTTTCCATTATAATCTGGAAGAGGCATCCGAATGAAACTTGGCCCACAGTACGCATTCATAATGATCTGCACAGTGCAAACTTCTCTTCTGGGTCTCCACTATCCAGTTACTGAAGAATTTACAAGGGCAATCGTTTTTACAAAGAGCTTGCCACAAATATAAAGGTACTTCAATGGTTTGTTTTCAATTGAAAGCACAAATTGGTTGTTAAAGTGTCCCCCTTCCCCCTGTGGTCAGGCTACATAGTTCTATGGCTGAAGAACTTAGTTCTACGACAACCCAAGTTCACACAGCCCACTTGCTTTCTTCATTTGACATGACATATCATGGGCTCAAGCAACAATCATCCTGAACCACCTAGCAACCCGACAACGTTGGCCAAATATTAGATTATTTGGGGGGGGGGGGTATTTGTTTAATAAATTAGATGCCATGTTATGTGTGTTGGCTAATTCTTCAGTAGGATTAGGATAGCTGAGATATTCTAGTTCAAGTAGGAATATAATTAAAGGTCCTAGGATTAACTAGCTTACTTGTTCATATGAGAACCATGTTAGATTATATGAGAGTGATTGTCTTAAGTTTTGAGTTATATTTTTCTGATATGATAGAAGTGGGTTCTTATCAAATTATGTATTCTACTTTGCCTTCGATTGTTACGTTAAAATCAATAGTGTTCATCAACTTAGATTTAGTCAAAGGCAACGACTCTTTGAAGAACGTTAAGCCATCATGGTCAACATTGAACAGTGCACTGATGGGAGTGACGGTTATCTTTGACCAAAGACAAGCTACATGTTAATCACAATGGTCTAAAAAGTGATTATGACTTCATCTCGTATCAAATAAACAAAACAATGCTCACATATCCATCTAGAAGATAATTGTAATCTGCACTGTTCACTTGTATGACCCTAACCTATTAGTATAGCACTTCAAAAAATTCTTTAAAAACACATTGAAGATGTGTTGGCAGCTTCTGATTATTTGTTAAAGTTTATTAAAGTGCATAATGTGTTGGCGGCTTGTGAATAGATTATGCACGAGAGTTAGAATGAAAGAAAAATTTGTTCTTTTATAGACTTTTTTCTTTTTGAATCATTGTTTGAGTTGGGGTTCAAAGTGTTATTCAAAATAGACCTTTGAACGGTACAACTTGGCCTTATAGAGAGTTGTCAATTAATGTCTGCGTGCTTATTATACGTTTAATATTTGTGTAACACCATAATTCGTCCAAGACTGCAGCTCCTTTCAGACTAAAGTATTAACTTGGTAACATAATAATTTTAAAACATTTCAAATTTCATTTCATTATATAAAATATTCAGAACAATAACAGAGTTTATCAAATTTGCAGGAACTGAAAATGATTGTTTCACATCACAATCATAAAATATAAATAATTCATTTTTGAAATATTTATTCAACAATTAGAAATCATCACACGTTCGTCAGACATCTCGTTTCCATCTCTTGTCAGGATCAACGTCACATCATTCCTTATTTTGTTTACCTGCGTATAGTGAATAAAACATACTATACACTCAGCGATGAAGTTGAGGAAGGATATCTTATGCATCAAACATCCACATAAATTGGATCACAATTCATAATCAAATCATTTCATATCATGTACATTAATCTTTCAATATTCATGGTGTCAATAATTCTCTTAAACTATTCTTAGTCTAAGACCAAATTAAAATAATACTCTTAAAATTTTCTAAGTCTAAGGTCAATTCATATTGATCACAAAGCTTTTAAACTATTCTTAGTCTAAGGAAGAACACAAAATCATGACTTATCCTGTGAGTCTTATAGGTCATGCTCAGGAACGGGACAACAGACTACTCACTAGCTGGTTAGGTGGTAACCTAGATGGAATATTCACAAATGGTTTGAGGATCCTGTACGTATGTTTTAACCCGAGCCATCGGATGTACACATCAGCAATGCCTAACTAAATTAGTCACATGGGGTCTATCTTAGAATTTTTCTAGATAGCCTTAATTATTCATAGTCTTTTTTTAATCATAATATTTGTCATTCAATCAAAATTTGGTCATAATAAATAGGGAGAACTCCCTAGATAGGAGTACAAAAATTATAAAATATCAAAATAGATGTCATAAGTCTTTTAAGATCAAAATAAGAGTTCACACTGTCATTGTTACACTGTCACACTTATCACATTGTTACATTGTAACTGCCAACCTATCACCGCCACACTGTCATTCGTCGCCTCCGGCAACTAAAGTGCCACTGCAAATCACCGAAGATTGACTGATCACACCGATACATTATACTGTCATCACTTTTCATCAAATTGCCAACGCGTATTCTTACACCACACTACCGTTATACTCCTGTGTTGGTTTTAAAAGACTTACGACTCCTATTTTGGTATTTTCATACGTTTTACTCCTATCAAGAGAGATTTTTTAATAAATAATCATCATCATCATCATAACAAACAACGGCCTAGCGTCGAGTATTAAGACCATAGCTTCCTGTCATGTATCAAATAAAGTTCTTGAATTTATCAAAACATCATATTTAGTTTGAAAATGATATTCATACTGATTTATAGTTGAATAGTAGTAAAAATTAGATTTTACATCTTCAAAATCCAGTTTTCCTGTACAGGAATGGCTCGTGACACTCAATTGTTACCGTGTTACGATCAACCGTTACCGCCTCCGTGCAACTGGGCTTGGAACGATCGACCATTACCGTTGGCGGTCGACCGTTCCTGGTAACGAACTAGAATGCCAACTGTTTGAGGAACGGTCGAGAGTTCCACACGACGGTTGACCGTTCTGAAATTTTCCAGTGAAACTTCTGACGAAGACTATGACTATCTCAGGTGACCTCAAGCTCTTCGGGCAACACAACTTCACTTTCCTCACAACAAAGAATAGAATAGAAGAAAAAATATGAAGGAATGGTGAAGAAATCATAATGCTACAGTCTCCTTATATAGCCTTGGTGATGGGAAGAAGCCAAGCCTACTGCGTAAATGCTGATTCAGATGGCTAGGCGGTGATTCTGCTGATTTACACGGCTCTTCCTTGATTAGGACTAAAATAGTCCCTATCGGGGTATACTTTTTTGTCCAATTTTCTCCAAATTAAAATATGATTGCACCATTGCGATCAAACAATCAAAGTTTATACAATGATATAATTTTCAAAAATAATAGACAATTTTTATAAATAACTTAATTTTGGATCATTCTCATCAATTAATTAATTTTCAATTAATTAATTTTCATAGGCTTATTTTTGAGGCGTTATAGTTTGACTTGTGTGTTTGTTCTATTTTTAGTTTTGTTTCAGATTTTTGGTGGTGTTTCATGAGTTATTTAAGATCTTGAAGTTGATTATCTTTGAATTTGTGGTTGTTTCCCCCAATAACTAAATACCAAAAACAATTATCTTTGAGTTTGCATATGTTTGGTTTACGATTATTTAGTTAAAGTTTATATTATGTGTTATATTCTCTTTTCATTAGCGTAATACTTGATTTGTTTTTTATTTTCGTGAAAATGTATTTATTCTTTATTAATTTAAAAAAATTATTAATATTTTTTGTTTATACAAGTTAATTATCAGTTTTATGTTTATTAAGTTTAAGTTATATTTATATATATATATATATAAAATATTTGTACCACTCGAACTACTGATTCGACCAGTGAACTAATGAACTAGTGTCTTGACCAGTTGATCATCGGTTCGGTTCTGAAAACTATGGATAAAACTAAAAAAGATACTCTACTGGATAAAAATAAAAAAATAGAATATTGAATTTGATAAGTAGCTGTGAATGGCGATTTCGACAAGGGTGGTAGTTTCCATAATATTAAGAGCATGTGCAATGGCAAGGAAGAGGGATGCCTTGCACTGCCACATCAGCTTTTTCCACTCTTATCATGCCATGGCAAGGCCAAAATGCCTTGCTTGGTGAGGCATGAGTGTAGCATTCCATCCTTCCTTTTTCTTTTTTTTTTAAATAATTTTTTTAAAATTTTTATGAAAAAAAAATGTACAAGAAACTAGAATAACTTTTTAATAAAATACTCCGTAAATAATAAAAATATTTTTTTTACGTTTAAAAAAGTAAAAAAATGTAAAAAAATGATAAAAAATAATGACTTGCCATTGTAGAATTTGCCACTCCATGCAATTGCCACACGCTGACTGGATTATTTTTGATTGGTTAAAATGTTCCATGTCACCGTGTGACATTCCATTTTTGGGAGAAAATATTGAGAGAGGTGAGAGGAGGTAATCTTATTCCGTAGAGCCGGTTCTCCGATAAACCTAGGTTACATTTACGGTTCCTTCTTTGCCCTTTCGCTTCTCCTCTTCTTATCTTCTTTGTTTCTTCCTTCTTCCAGTGCAGCTGTTGCTGCCCTTTGGATCTGCGACTACCCTTCCATGTATCCTCTTCTCTTCTTTCGTTTCTGTTTGTTTTTTTTTTTTTGGCATTTTTCATTTTCATGTTTTGACGTTATTTTTTTTTTATGTTTTTTGTTCTTATTTTTTTGCTCTTTTAATTTGTTTTTCTTTATCATGTTTTATTTTTTCCATATTTTTTTATGATTTGTTTTTTTGTTTTTGTTTTTCCATTTTCTTTTGGCGTTTTCTTTTTGTTTTTTTGTTTTCTTTTCAATTTTTTGACATTTTTTTGCTTTGCTTTTCTGGCGTTTTTCATTTTTTTGAAAGATCATGTTTTGTTTCTTTTTTATGTTTTTACGGAGTATGTTATTTTTGAAATTAAGTGATAAAAAATATCTTACAAAATCGGCGGCCTTAATTTTGGATAATGCGTACATCTTCCTTTTCGAGAAATTTGTGACAAACTGATGTTGAAAGCAATTCTTGAATTACTCCAAAATGTACGTGAATGTTACTCAACGATGTTTGGAAAAGGAAGAAATTTGAAAAACGAGCACATGGGTATTTAAGTAGTTTTATTGTTTTATCTAGGGAGAAAGACCAAAGTAGAACTAAAACATTGAAAATATACTAAAATAGGACTTCCATGTTTTTATTCTCGAAATAGGACTTACATTACCAACTATGGTCATATACATTACCAAAAAGATATAGTAATGTGCACATGTACACTGCTACATTACCACAGTGCAAAGTCCTATTTCGGAAAAAAAAACATGAAAGTTTTATTTTGGTACTTTTCTCTATGTTTTAGTCTTATGGGAGAAAGACCAAAGTAGGACTAAAACATTGAAAATATACCAAAATAGGACTTTCATGTAGTAATTTGCACATGTACATTGTCACATTACCACAATGCAAAGTCACATTACCACAATGCAAAGTCCTATTTCGAGAAAAAAAAATATGAAAATTCTATTTTGGTACTTTTCTCTATGTTTTAGTCGTATTTAGGATGATTTCTATAGTCTTATTTAGGGTGATTTCTATTTTATCTACCTCACATTACCTAATAAATATCCAAACATAATTTTTCAACTCCTTACCTTAATTTATGTATCTTATTTTACCTACCTTCAATTACCTACCTAGTAAAATTTTATCTACCTCCAACCAAACAGCCTAAGACCAATGTCGATTCGAGTGTAGTGAGTTGTT